AGAAAGAAAGAAAGAAAGAAAGAAAGAAAGAAAGAAAGAAAGAAAGAGAGAAAGAGAGAAAGAGAGAGGGAGAGAGGGAGAGAGAGAGGGAGGGAGGGAGGGAGGGAGGGAGGAAGGAAGGAAGGAAGGAAGGAAGGAAGGAAGGAAGGAAGGAAGGAAGGAAAGGAAATTCTGTTGAGGACATTAGTATTATTTTAGAAACTCACGGTTTTCTTTTTTCTTGAAATAGAATGACAGAAGATAACATATTTAAAGCTATTTTCAGTACTGGAGATTGAACCCAGCATCTTGGCTCTGTCACTAATCTATATCCCTGGCCTTTTTAATTTTTATTTTGACACTAGGTCTTACTAAGTTTCCTAGGCTTGCTTGGAACTCACTTTTCTATGTCTATTTTATTCTTTTTAGTTTATTTCTTTCATCTTATGGGTATGAGTGTTTCACTTGCATATATTCTGTACACAACATCCATGTCTGGTGTTCCTGGAGAACAAAAGAAGGCATCAGATCCCATGGAACTGGAGTTTCAGATGGTCATGATACATCATGTGGATGCTGGGTATTGAACCCTTCTGCCAGAGCAATAGAGTCTCTTAACTGTGGTTCCTCCTCTCCCAAGCTGGCTTTGAATCTTTACTTCTCCTGTCTCAGCAGCCTAAGCACCTGTGATTCCATTCCTAATTATTTCCGGAAATAAGCATTTGAGACAATGAATTTGAACGTCATTTCTGAAGATAATAGCATCTCTTTGATAGCCTTGTTCATTTTTCCTTCTCTAGGGGTATAATCAAAGATTTATACTCTAAAACTCAGACAGAGGAGGGGAGACTCACAACAGTATAATGTGACATAGTGAGTTTACGTAATGTATGTGGAATTGTAAAGTAAATAATTGAAGTATTAGCTGACATAAGTATCTCACCTGTAACTCATCGGTTATCGTTGGAATAAGCCACTGGTTTGTGTAATCACTAAAGAACTTGCCTCAGTGCAACTCAGTGCCTCAATCTTAAGCTCTTGCACCCTAAGTAGGAGCTGAATTGGCTGTAGGACTTAGTCTTGGAGTTTCCAGAGTATAGCAAGGTATCTGTAGTCAGACCTCACCAAACTAGGATTATTAGAAAGTCACTAAAGCCATTAAAAAAAATAAGCAAGGTGTCATGGTGTTCTGCAGCTTCATTATCATTTCCCAGAACTGGAATTATCATAAAAGGAATGTGCAGGCTAAACACTTCAAATACTACCATAAGACCCTAGAAATCTACCACCTACCTCTGTCGTTGTTACTTCAAGGTGGAAGTTTAAGTACCTATAAGTAGCCTAAACTCTGAGAAAAAATACAAGTAAAAATGGACTTTGAGTTTAAAGGATAGTGTATGGATTATTTTTATATCACAGGTAAATGGATATTATCATTTCATTTGGTTACGATGATGGTGATGCTAGATTTTTTACAGAACACTAGCTTTAACCAGTTTTTCTAGACTTTCTGGAGGAGAAGCTTTGATTCATGGAGAAAGCACACAGTCTACTCCTGGTGAAATGGAAAAGCGGCCTTTTGCATAAAGCCGAAGCATTCAGTCTTCTGTCCTAAGCTAAGAGTGGTTGCTACACTTAAACTTCCCTTAGCTGCATGTATAAGCAAGCAGCCAGCAGGCCTGGCTGCAGTGGCTGTCATATGGGGCACTGTGTGCACATGCTTTACTGGTTAAGAGCAAATTAGTGCTGCTGTATGGTCAATTGACTGCACTTTAAGAAAAAACAGTTTTGCAAGCACAGCTTAGCTGCGTGTATCTGGCTTGCTAAAAGCACCTTTTGTGCAGACAGAGCACTTTCGCTTTAGCATTTCTGGACAAATAGCTTATTTAAAAGGGAAAAAAAACTGTTCAGAAAGTATAGGTAGAAAACAAAATAAGACGTTGGTGGCTTGAAACCTAAAGAAGGCAAGTCAAGGGATATTCAGGAAGAGATAATAGCAAATAATCTTCTGACTTACAATGTGCTGCTATTTGCTATGTGTCAGTGATTAACCCTCTGCTCACTGGCCCTAAAAAAATTAATTTAGTTAAACTCATGTTGATCATTATTTTCTTAGCACATACTAAGACTGTCTTAATTTAATATGGCCCACAGGACCACCTGGAATATGTATGACTATGACACATGGGTGCACATTGTTACTAGTTGTGACTATGTACCCTTAAATATTACAGCACAGAGCTATAAACATACTCCAAAAAATCTTCATCTTACAGATAACAGGCAAGCTCATTGTAATCAATGGATTATTTTGAGTAAGGTATGGAGTGCTGACATCCTCAGGCCTCTTGGAGCCTGCCTTCTGGTGGTCAGGAGGTCT